ATCTTGAGTCACCTTCGGGTTCGAGAAAGGTGGGGTAGAAATATCGCAAAGAACAACAACAATAAATATGCTACTCTATAATACAGTTCAATACCGTTGACCTGCATCATATGGCAGTGTGGATGGGGTCTCAATGTTGCTAAGATGATTTCACAACTGCTTCTGAGAACATAGTAAAACACCTCTCAGAGTCTGCCTGCTCGCTGCACAGCATGGAACAGCCATTCAATGTGGCTTTGGGGGCGTTTTGGTAGGAGAGGGGACTGGACACTCAGGAATGAGGATGAGAATGTCAACACTCAAGAACCTGAACAAGAATACCTGCATGCATAAGGGAGACTTACATATGTGATCATGTAGAAGTGGACAGTTTTTTGCAGATGTACACAGAGATCTGTTTCGGTTAATAAATGTTTCATTAGCTTAGGGGTTAAAATCATGTGGCCCATTAGGTGTTTGGATTACAACTCCTAGAGGTTGTAGCCAAGATAGACAATAGTGTGGAATGTGGGAATTGTAGTTCAACAAGTTCTGGAGGGCCACCCCTGCGTGAAGTCATGGACATAATTCAGGCAGAGTATACATGCATGCATGGAATGTTCTTACTTTTAATCCAGTGCTTGGCAACATACATTTTTGAATGTTGACCTTCAGAACCTCCTTCTTTACCTTATTAGAAAGTTCTAGGGATTTAGTCAAAAAAGGAAACTAGCTTAACCCCTCAAAATCTCTAATTCAGACATTTCAAGGCTGGGAAAGAGTTTTTGCTTTTGATATTGGAGAAATGTTGGCAGTCAGAAAAGACAAGCATTACCCAACATGACATCCTCCAGAGGATTTTTTAGAACTCCCATCATTCCCCACCAGCATGACAGTCAAAGTTGTGGTCTAACCACTTTGGAAGATGCTGGGTTTGGGAAGATTGGCTGGACCAAAGATACACTAGAGATGGACCAACACTCTTACTCAGTACAGATTGATCATCTGTTATCCAGAACTCAAAATCCTCAAATAATTCCCAATTCTTCATCTGGGTAGCTGAGATAGTGACTCCTTTGCTTCCCGATGGTTCAGTGTACACAAATTTTGTTTCATATAGAAAATTACGAAAAAATATCATATACATTTACATCGAGGCCATGCAACACAAATGAATGTTATATTTAGAATTGGGGCCCATCTCCAAGATATCATATATGAGGAGGGGGGTATTCTAAAATCCAAAACACAGCCATTCCAATAAGGGTACTCAACCTATATAGTGTATGCAGTCTATGTGTAGCTGTTTCTGCAAGGATTTACAGATTAAAAGTTATTTCAGGAAAATACCATTTATTTCCAGATTAATGGCATAGACATGAACTTGGGGATGTGAAGCTATTTGGCCAATGTCTCGTTTATGGTTTATGACTTTCTTAGTATAGCAAGATGACTTGGCAAGGATTCTCAAGCACCTTTTGAGAAATACCCCTTCAGTGCTAGAGCAAGCCATCAGGAGTTTCTGCTCATTGTGCCTTATGCAAAAATGTCAGTTTTCTTTTTGTAAAGTTAAGCATTCATTCATAAGATAAAAAAAAAATATGAGGCCAGTCACACATAGAGATGTAAGCAACCCATGACTTTTTACACCAAGGCAGCAAATTCCTGCTCTTTCCAATTTTGGGAGTTTTCAAAACTGTTCAAAAATTGGTCCTTCAGAGGCACAGATTCTGGTTGAGACTTGCAATGTGTGTATAGAAGAATCAGCCACTATGTGTTAAGGAGGACATTTTTGCATTTTCTCTTTTCTTTGTGGGGTTAATCAAAGTCATGATGAAAATCCCTAACATAATTTTGTTTCTGTATGTAAATTATAGATTGAAAAATCTGAGAAAAATTGGGATTTTCTGACTCCTTAGTATGACTATTTCTATGTGTGTCCAGAACCATAATAGCTTCTGAAAATGCACAGTCTCCTTTAAGTAATCTTGAAATCTTTATAATTTTCTTAAGTAGCATTTTGAAATGCAGACAGATGTTGATAGAAGATTAAATCTCTCTAGGTTTTGTTGAAATGATGTATCTTTATCTTGAGCATATTGTGATCTGCTATCCTAATTTCTTAGGGGTTCACATACATTTTATTGATTAGCCCATTGGCTATATCTTAGGGGCAGATAGGTAATTTTACCAATATTTAAAGGTTTTCCTAAACATTAAGCAAGAAGAGTAATATTCATTACTTGGCCTTACAGTTAAGAATGGAATTCTGTTTGATTTTTGTGTTACTCCTTAACTATAAGAAACCTGATTAAAGAACACAGTTCATTTTCTATATGAAAATTTCCATATGCATATTTTTTCCAGATAATTTCTGCCATTCTGTTTTCCATGGGAAACGTTCTGTCTCTAAAAGGTCACTGGGCTCCAGCCAATATCATGCAAATGACAGTATTTTCCTTGCATTTACTGCATCTTCACACAGATTCCCCAGGCTTCTGGAATAGTTTTGGGGAAGATGTAGTTTTCTCAGACAGACATTTTGGGGAAGAGCCATAGCTTTGTGGTGCTGCACATGGTTGTCATGCAAGAGACTCAGGTCCAGCCAACACCATCTCTTGGCAGGGATGGAGAAAAAAATACAGTCTGAAACTCTGGAAAGCCATAGCAGACAGTGTGGACAGCACTAGGCTACCCCAAACCATGTTCTAATTCAGTATAAGACAGCTTCTTTCATTGCTATAATATAACTCCTATATCTTCAAGAATGTATCTGCAGTATCATTTATCCAAATCAGACAAAATATGTTATTTCTGGGTATTTTCTAGATCCTCCAATGTGATCTCAAGTTATTCTTGGTTCAGAAGTCCTTAATTTTAATAGGGTTCACTATTATCTGTGGTTTTGCATATCCACACAAAGTCTGAAATCGGATCCCCTGGAAATATGGGAGTCGTACCCATTGTTATACCAAGTGAATAACGCAAGTCTGCAAAATTGAGGGTGCTAAAAACCTTTTAAAATGGTATGCTGGTTTTACAGGAATTGGAATTCTAAATTCAAATGTTGACCTCAGATTTGTTCCATCATGTTCAGCTTCCCCCTTGCAACTTGCTTTGTCATTATTTGTAACATGTGACTAAGATTTCTTTGGAGAGTGGGAACTAAAAGGTAAGGCAGGGGTTAAAGTCTTCTAATAGAACTTCAAAAAGGTTTACTCCAGTGATATGAAACACAAAAATCCATTCAAAAGTACTAAAAGAAATTGCACTGGAACATCAGAGTCAGCACTTAATCAAAGATGAGTAACAACTGAATTGATAAAAAAAGTGAAAAAACTGTGCGGGGCATGGCATTTTTATTGTGCTTTTAAAAAATCGGCATCCCCAAAATACATTAAAACAATATTGGAAAAAGTATTTTTAGCCCAAGTCTGTGTCATATAATGGAGTTTAAGTTTCAAAGTTGTAGTTAATTTTACTCTGTTGGCTCTCCCTAGCAAGCATACACTTGTATGGAATAAATGTAAATGCATTATTCTTTGAATATACTAGAATTTTGAATATAGGCAGTATTCAGTTTTTTTGTTTCCCCATCCTCTTGTAATCTTCACAATGTGAGATAGTGTGCACTACTAAGTTGTCATGTCTTTGGGTATTACATGTGCTATACAATTTTCTGATTAAACTTATTGGAGAATAAGAGTCTAAACCTCGTTTACAATGCAAACAGGAATGTTGTAACTATGATACAATTAATGAGCATAAGAAAGATTTTTTTCAGTTCAATCCCATAGTCACTATTCACAACTGCTCCACTGGGTTGATGGTCACAGGACTACAGTCCATGTGGGTTGAACATGGCTGAAACATTTTGTCGGAATCACAATGTTCTTATTAGCCACCCGCAGTATGATATCTTTGGTAAAATGAAGTGATATTAATAATCTAAGTGTTCAATCGTCTGCAGATGCCAATCTCTCACACTTCTCCAGTTCCTCTTCTGGTAGTCCTCACTGTCACATTTTCACAGAACTGGAAGTAAAATGATCTCACTTCTATTTTGCCTGTTTTGGGATCCAAAAACTGGGAAGAAACTAGACCTCTCATGTTTGAGGGAACTTTTGATGTAGTTTTCATCACCAGGATTCTTTTTCTCTAATTTTTTTAAAATTAATTAATTTTTTTAAAGGCTGGGGGAAGTTTAAGGACACTGGGGACTTGAGACTGCTAGAAAGGAGTTGAAGACTATATGAAACTTTACCCAACCCTGAATGGTCTTCTGAATTTCAACATTGCTTTTAAGGTCAGTTCTTGCTGCAATAATTTTATGGGATGACTTGTATGTGCAAAATGATTTGTTGATTTCAACAAAGTAGCTAAACACCATGTCTGTCAAAGAATATAGCCTAAGGTCACCAACCAGTGGTCTCATATGTCATTTCTCAGTGTTGCAAAAAGAACTGACAAAGCTATCCATTTCATATTTCACTCAACATTTGGGCACACACATGCAACATTTACACTGACAAATGGAGCAGGGAATAGATGATTCTCCTAAGAACATAAGCAAGTCCTACTGTCCAAGTGAGAACCTCTATCTAGGATTATCTAGTGACTCAGAAAGCTCATAAGAAGGGATATAGATGTTCTTCATGAACATTTGATTCAGAGATATGTATGTTTGCATGGATACACTGAGCATCTCAATATGAAAATGCAAAAGCGAACCCACATTCTTACCTTGACTTATTAAACTAAAATGATACAATATAAATAAAATCTGTAATCTGTATGACCAATAACATGAGCTCAATTCAGAAGGAACCATAGAATCATTGAGTTGGAATACACCTTGTGGGCCGTCGAGCCAACCCCTTGCCAACAAGCAGGAAAATTGCAGGAAATTAGTATTAATCCAGGATGGATATTACTGAAACGGGGGATGATAGCATTTGTGTAATGTATCTTGTGTAGCCATGTTTATTTGGATTCACTAAGAGAGAATCACAGAGACCTCATTCGTGAGTATTTCCCAAAACTTTATTTGTTATATTTCTTTCCCCATTTTGTTACAGTTTTTGTCATTTGCTCTTCCCCATCCTCCTGCTTTTTTGTGATTGACAGAACAATGACAAAATGTTCCCAGCCAGCCCTCCTTGGAATGCTAAGGAGGTAAATATCATCCTGACCTTTTCAAACATAATGTTTTGATTTGCTGGGTATTGCATTTCTGTTTGGTTTTCTAGTTGTCGCTGGCCTGTAGAAACAGAGGAATTAGATTCAGTCAGTCATGGAGAAAACTACAGCATACCTGTGTGATTCGATACAAATAAGACAGAATAACATTTTAGATAGTTCATTATTATTTCATTGCCACAATCTAAGAAGACAAAACACTCCATATATTCGAATTTACAGTTCATAATGTACTACAAATAAAATCACCCATAAATTGGGTTACAAAACATGAAATCATTGTATGGCAAGAGCTAGGGCAGTTAGACTATTTCAGGGAGATTTAAGTTTCCTGTAATATTTGGAACAAGCTGTCAGAAAATGAATGCTGAAAATGTCTTCAAAGTATAGGTTGAGTATCCATTATCCAGAATTTCAAAATCAAAAATATTGTAAAATCAAAAATTGTGCATATGTCTGGCTAAGATAATAACATATTTGCTTTCTGATGGTTCATAAAATACATGAAAACTTTGTGTATAAAACTACCTTCATGCTATGCATATATGCTGCATATGACACATACATTGTTTTGGGTCCCATCTCCGAGATATCTCATTATGCACATATAAGCAAATATTCCAAAATCTGGGAGGAGAATCTAAAATTCTTTTGGCGCCAAGCATTTTGAATAAGGTATATTCCACCTGTATTATACTATTATATTATTACAGTAATAGCCTTCATCCAAGAGGGCTTTCTCAGCTATGTATATTGGAGTAACCTTGTTGTCTTTAATATAAGTCCTAAGGGGTTTTTGGATCAACATAACATGCAGAATCCAAGACTGAACTTGAGAAAGCTGTAAGGACTTTTTTCATTCAACATAACAAAGGGAAGTTCACACAATGAACTTCTTTTTGACTCAGTGGCACACACATGGTTCTCAACAACCAGGTAATGTGTCTGCTATGAAGGAAGTACTATTAAATGTACTTGGTCTTACTCTTGTGCATGTTATTGCAGACTGAAAAAAGGAAGGCAACTGACAGAGAAAGAAAAATACTGCCCACTGAACTACATTTTGCTCAGTGTTGGAATGACTCCTAGCACTGAAATTTTGTTTAACTTTGGGTCTTCAGAATGAAAGACTTGCTAGTGCATCAACATGGTGCTTGTGAGTATTTCTTTAAGTGTGGAAGATGTCAACAGGTTTATTGATAGCACTGCTTCTCCACCTCATTAGCTGCTATTGCAGCTAAGGTGAAATACAACATTTTGAATTACTAAATGTTTATGTGTGTATGTCCACACATTTTGCGTTATGTGCATCATTTTTAAGAGATGACTCATAATGATTGAAGTAACAACTCTGGGAGATTTTCTTCTGAAGGCTTAGCCATATTGTGGGCCTTGGTACAATAAAATGTACTGAAACTGGCAGATACACAGCACTTTATCTGTGAATTGCTAAAGGCTGTATATTATTGCCGGTTACATAAGAAGAGATGACTGCTTCAATTCTTTTGATGCTGTGTGAGAGTTGCCTACTTGCTTGAATCGCTTGTTCTACTAATCTTGTAGCTATTTCATAATGTCACTTTTTTGAGGAAGCACTATAATAGTCCTAAATAAAAGGATTAAGGCAGCTTCTCGCATAACCATAGTTGCTAACCTTGGCACTTTTAAAAATGTGAGTAAAAAAAATTAATCACTCACAATACTAGCAATATTCTAAACTTCCTTCCAACAATGAGGGAGGCCACAGGGAGAGACCATGCATGGTCATACATTATGTAACGAGTCTCCTTAAGAATATTGGTTCTTCTGTATCCAAAGGTGTACACAATACATCTACAGAATGACCTCTTGGTACACTACTACTAAGGGCAGCAGAAGATTGCACCAGTGGAGCTTTCCATAGGCATACCAGTGGGCCTCCGAGCAGCAATACAATTGCATTATTTCTCCCCTTGTACTGGACCCTTTCACTTTTCAGAGTGAAAGGGGACTCCTAGGATTTCTTCATTTTTTTAATCTTTAGAGTCCTACTGTAGAATAAAAATAGCATTTTTGCTATTTTACAAAGTATTTCATATACCCTAACAATCAACTTTGTTTTTCAGAATGAGTATCTTGAATCCACCTTGACATCCAGTAATGAATGCAGAAATGGCTGAGAAACCAGGTAGCTCCTTCCATTACTATCCATTTAAAGTTTGTTCCTGAATATCCTAGAGAGGGATTTCAAGAGAAAGAAAAACCACGAATCAATCCACATTCCTCCTACAGTAGATTCGAATGTGACTGTCTCCTATACAAATATTAATATTCAGTTCTGCATAGTATTTTACTCCTTAACACGCACATTAAAAAATGACATTTTTGATGCTTGACTGGTAGTGTGAACATGTCTTTCTGTCTTGATATAAGACCTAGCAGGCAAATATGGTTAATAGGCTTCCTGGTGCATGTTCCTGTAGCAAAAACAGAATTCATTTTCATGTAGGTTTCCCCCTACTGTGCCACACACAGTTAAAGAAGAAAATGGAAATTGAAGAGCTGGGAAGGATGTCAAGAAATGCTACAAAGATGGCAATGGGTTTCATTGTGTCATTGATAACACTTACTGCATGGAAAAGATGGGAGAAGAAAAAATAATAGTATTCAAATATTTTAAGGATTTGAAATAGGAAAAGGTAAGTTGATTTTAACCTATTTTGTGTTCAAGAGCTTAACCCATTATTTTGGGACCTCCCCTCTATCATAGGCCTAAATTTAATATAGAATTAGAAGAAGTAAACAATGGGCTAGTGGGATTTCATTGGTATGCTTAGTTGCACAAGGTGGTAGACATGCTACCACTCCTGCAACTGAGAGTGTATCTACACTGTAGAATTAATGCAGTTTGACCCACATCAACTGCTATGGCTCAGTGCTATGGAATTCTTTAGCTGAGAATAGCACTGAGCCATGGGAGTTAATGTGGTGTCAAATGGCATCAATTTGACATTGTACATGCATCTTGCTTCTGCAATGACTGGACTCTCTACCTCTGTATAGTCTAGCTCTAGGTCTCCATCTGTGCAGTCTCATCTGCGCTATTGGAGTGACACTGTTGGTTGTTGGCTTAAATCATATTGATGAAAAGTATGCATGAAGGAATGCCAGGATGAGTTACTGAAAGTGGAACTTGTTCTATTGTAGTACAATAACATTTCTCATCACAAGAAATATGTTTATATGAAAAGAAGGATTAGAAACTGATATGGTCAAATTGCTATAGCTCCACATCATAAGATGACTACTGTGTAACATGGTTCAGGAATCTCAAATTTAAGTCGATAAGAGACATTACTTTCTTGCTTGCCTGCGGTGCAGAAAGACATGCTCAATGGTGTTTCTGGTCTCTGCTCCTGACATTAATACTTGAGGGAGGGCCTTTTCCCAAATATGTAGGTTTGCTGGAGTGATGCTCTGCCAATTGAATCAATGCATTTTGAGAAGTCATGGGGAAACGGCCTGGGTGGGGTTAGTTTTTTCCAGCACACACACACACACACACACACACACACACACACACACAAAAACCAAACCAGAAACCAAAAGCAAACAAACAACAAACAAAAAAATCCCACTAAAGGCTTTTTAATGGAGCCTTTGAACTCTAAAAATTGAGTAGGTTATAAATATATCAGTCAATCAATTGATCTGTCAGTAGAATGCTATGCACCAAATAAATTGATGGGTGACTGGTACAGCACAGAATGATTGTCATGAGGCAAAAGAGTTTCATCTATGAACATAGTCTTAATGCTCTGGATGACAAGGAGAACCCAAGTTCTCCTTGTCAAAACATTTCCATAGATTTTGGGGTTTTGGAGTATCTCCTCTCATTTCTAATGTAAAATTTATATTTTAGGATTTTTATGTTGTTCTCTCTGTTTAAAAAGTGCCTGAATCAAGTTCTGAGTACCACCCGCATATTGTTTTCCATAGTATTCAGTCCCATCATACAATTCCGTATATTTACATTAGTAAACTGAATGTGCACACTGCTATAATATTCCCCCCTCCCCCACAAAAAGGGACATATTTGGACATTTTTTTCATGCAGAACTTGACCAGCAGGCAGGTGCAAAACTTGTGGACTGTACATGACTTGGAAATGTCGCACTCCTCCTTCTTGTCTTTGTCCTTATCCACTTCCTGATATCCTGCCTTACTCCCAAAATTCAAGACAGTATATGGTTTCAGTTTCCAATTTTGATTTGGGGGGATTTCTTTGGGCTTGGACCCCACCTCAGCATATACAATAGGAAATAAAATTTTATTCACCCTAATCGGGGCATTAGGACAAATTTGAGTGGTTTGGGGGCAGTAAAACAGCCCTAAAGATGCATATCATCATAGGCTGCACTGCACTCATCCCTGAATTAAAGATGAAAAACCCAATAATTATTTATTTATTTACTGTATTTATACCCCATCCTTCTCAACCCCATAGGGGATTCAAGGCAACTTACATATATAGGCAACAATTAGATGCCCCAAAACACACATAATAAAAGCATAAGCATTACAACAATCATTAAATCATAATGAAACCTTAAAACCAATTATTTAAAATCACGCGATGCAATAACCAATATATGTCCTTTAGGTGGTTACACATACTTATTACTATGGACTCAGGGACTTAATCACATGAGGCTTGGTCTCTGTCCTAGGACACTTCCAGGACGGAGTCTGCCGAAGCCCATCACATGACACAGAGCTACTTTTGGTGGGATTCTGTACTGGCACCATTCTAGGAGAGCCCTAAGAACACAGGTGGCTAGCTCTGTTCTCATTAGGTATGCCAGGGCAAGCGTGAGGGTAAGCCGGACAGTGACAGTTTCTCCCATGGGATGGGGAAAAGGGCAATTTGGGATGAGGGACAACTGTTTTCCTTGCTGCCCATTGGATTTGCAGCGATGTCCCAAGGATGCCCCCCAGTTTAAGGACCTTAATGTGATGAGGCCAGTCTCAGCTTTAAAGGAACTCTCAAAGATAGAAAATATAATGTAAGTCCTTTTGTTACTTCCTATAAAGTTCAGAGTAAAACTTAGAACAGATTCACACATACACAGGGCATGGATGACACCTTTTTGTTCTATTGTCCTTGTTCTCCCATACACTTCCTTTAGCACACTTTCCCCTTGTCTGCTACTGCCCCTCTGTTCTTTTCATTTCTCTGCTTCATTTCTGTGCTCTTTCTTTCTGCTCTTTCAGCTGCTGATCACAAACATTGTAATCCATCCCCCCCCCCCCCCAATTTCTGTTGCTGTGTTTCCTTTTTTACTTACTAGGAAAGAAAAATTCCTGGGAGCATGTTTGCCAAAAGAGATAGATTTAAAGACTCAGATCATCAGGAGCTATACATTAATTTGGAAGTGGTATCCTTATTAAACATTATGGATAGACTCTATAATGAAAAACATTGGAGAGGATGTCAGGAAACTTGAACCTATATTCATATGTGGTGGGACTGTAAATATGTAAAAATTTTGGGAAATTGAAAATATTATGAATATAGAAATTAGAAGGATTTCGGGAGAAATATTGCTATTAATTAAAAGAGATTAAGGGAAAGATGAGAGGGAAAAATTAATGGATATGCTATTAACAGCAGCTAGATTATTAATAGTAAAATATTGGAAATGAGGAAATGATAATACAAGTTGATGCATGGTGTAAAGAAGTCTTGAGAATGGCATTGAATGATAAATTAACATCAAATTTAAACTTAAAGAAATGACTATGGAAAAAATGACTTTGAAAGTATCTGGAGAAGATTTTTAGAAAATATTTTGGAAAAAGAAGACAGGATTTTACCTTCATGTGAACTTTTGGTGGGATTTTAGATGAGATGGCTCTGGAGAAGGGGAGAACAGGAATGAATGGAAATAAAAGATGTGAAAAAATGTATAGTCATAAGAATGGTGAACTTATTTATTATTTATTTCCAATATTTCTATAACGCTATTCTCAACCCCAAGGGGGGACTCAGGGCAGCTTACAAACCAGCCACAATTTGAAGCCTCAATATAATACAAATATAAACACAAATAGCAAGTTTATAAGAGTAAATAAAAATAAGTTAAAAACACGTTAAAAACTTATGTTTCATATATGACTATATAATTGCTAATCTTTTTGTTTTTTTAAAAAAGGAGCTACTATATGATGGTGCTTCCAAGATTAGAAGTTGCTACTGAATATAAGTTGCTGAGGAGCAACAGCAGATGGTTTTCCCTTTAATAATTGCCTGTGGTCTCCCAAGAAGCATCTGGCTACAATGGCCTAAAGCTTGTGGTTAATTATGACTAAAGCAGAACCATTGAATCAATTGGCTTTATTGTCTCTGTTGACTCACCATTGATCAACAGACCAAATAGGTCTACTCTAGTTAGGACAAACCAACAGAATATCAGCCTATTTATGTGATACACAATGGCTCTTATGCCCTTATATCATCCTTATTATTTTCTAATGCAAAAAGAGATTCTTTAATTCAAGATCACAATGGAGGCTTCAATTCATGAGCCAGAAAAAAAAGCAATATATGTGACCACCTCCTAATTCTACAGTATGAAAAATGAAGTCATCTTTATGAGTACCTAAGTATTAGGAAGAGTTTTGTTTAGCTCTGATGTAAAACCATCCAGTCATATGATGGAACTATAAAACTCTGCCTCTGATTGGAACGAAATTGCAGCCACTTAGTAAAACAAAATGTTGCATGTGAGATATGGGGAAAAGGCTGATTAACAACAGACCTAGCTAGCACCTGCTCCTTAATCTCATTCATTTATGTGTGCATGTGTATTTGGTTAGTTTTATTTTCTGCATGAGGAAAAGGAAAGAAACAAATTGATGGAAAATTGACTGCATGATAAAAACAAGAATAAACGAAGCACAACTGAATGTCAACCAATACAGACTTTTGTGTAAGAGAGCTCATCTGTACAAAACTAACTTCTTCAAGATGATTGTTCTTCTTTACAAACAAAAATAAACATAATATCTTTCAAAACCACTTTTGGGAAATGATTACAAATAACAGGGAAGCCCTAATAGATAGCAATTATGCAGAGATGTCTGATGTATGATGTGACCTCTAATTCAAGTGCCACAGCTAAAGTTACTTTGGAAGCAAAAAGAATAGACTCCTTTTAAAATGAGAAGAAAATGTAATAAAAGAGATAACATTTTCTGTTGGTTTATGATGTGATCATTTATCATCTGCATCTCAATTTCAAATTGATAGTCATATAGTACTTCAAATTGTAGAGGCTGGCTAGAATCTAATACTAGAGGCCTGCATGGTGCTTAATACTTTCAGCATTCTTGCTGGAAATCTAATCTAGAAAAAGTAATATATCACTTACAGAATTGAGTTCTAAAGGTCAACTACAAATGACTAGCTTTTCTGATTTTCTTCTATTTTATTTATTAATCCAAAATCTTTTGTTTCTCATTTCTTTGATGCTAAATAGAGGGATTACGGCTCTGCTGGAGGCAATAGCTCAAAAAAGAAAATTCATGACTGGAACATACAAAAGAGGTAATTCAGAAATTATTTTACTTTGCATATTACAAGTTTTTGGAAGAAGTGGACCTTGTTCAGGAAATTCACTAGAGATGGAGACTCTTCAAAGCAAATGATTAAAGATTTCAAGATCTCTCTTTGTATGCATTCTGTTCTAAGAACACAATGCAGAAGAATGAAAAGGCCTGTTAAATTATCATCATCATTGAATGTCTCATAATGTTTGTCATCAGCATCAAAAATGTTTGTACATTGAATATTCAAGAGCATCAGTATTTAATGCTTTAATCCTGTTGGTAACATGTAGTGTCATAACCTCACATTTATACTGGAGTTATGCTTTTTGCCTATTGCGCAAAGAGATATTAAGTACCTCCTTGCACAGCAATCCTTTTCTGTGGTGCATAAGACGTTTTCAGCATTGGTGCATCCCACTTTAGTAATTTGCTGGCTCAAGAAGAGTGAAGATAGCTTGAAAGCATTTGATTGTAGCTCTACACCTGGGAGGAAAGAACAGATATTTTAGCTGATGGACTCTTGGAACAGGAGCACAGGCATCAGGAGGAAGCAGGAAACAAATACATAAATAATCATAATGCTATGTGCCTACATGAGAGAAGCACTGTGAATGCCCCATGCTGTGACTAAAAATGTACATTGTGTTAATTTTTAAGCACTGGGAAGATATCTGGCATCAATCTGCAAGGAACATTTTTGTGAGCCACCCTTTCTGGGTAAAAATGCAGTAAATAAACATTTGGCAGGAGAGTGTGTATGTGTTAGTCTGTCAGCCAACCTGCCAGTTTTCAGAGATGGTAGTTGAGTGGAATCATCAAGTTTTAAACTTTCGTTTGAAGACTCAACTCAATTACAATATTTAAATTAAAGGACGGCACTCAAACAGCCACCTGCTGCTGATCAGCAAATGGATTCACTGGAATGATTAAGTATCTGTAAATCCGACTTGTGCTATCCAGTGTTGCATGAGCAGAAATTATTTTTTTTCCTTTCCCCTCTACCCTCTCTGCATTCTCTTGTTTATTGTTCTTGTGTCCTCAAGTTGTTATTGTTGTGCCTTCAAGTAATTTCTGACCGATGGCCATCCTAAGGTGAGCTATCACAGGGTTTTCTTAGCAGGATTTGTTCAAAGGAAGTTTGCTATTGCCTTCCTCTGAAGCTGAAAGAGTGGAACTTGCCCAGGTTTCATGGCTGACAGAGGACTTGAACCCTGGTTTTTCATAACCCTAGTCTGACATTAAAACCACGACCTCATGTTCACTTTAGCATTATTTTGTGCTCCAGAGAAGAGCTCTTCAGAGAATTGGGGGATCATAAAAAGAGGGGTTCACTCAAAACCAAGTGGATGAAACATACTTGTAGGAATGTAAACATCTCTCCAGTTCAATTTCAGTCTTTTCCATCAGTTGCCATGGATATTCTTATCTCATCCTTTGTTTTCACTCAATACAAAATGTTTATTTTACTTTCCACATCAAATTTTGTATGCATTATTTCCTATTTTAAACATGTTTATATACATTTTCTCCACTGGAGAAACTTTTTTTGTGCTTTAGAGGATCATTCATACATGCGGCTTTGCACTTTCTTTCTTGCAATCCAAAAGACAGAGCCCTTCTCCTGAACAATTCTGCATTTTTCTCAATGAAACTTGGGCAATGAAAAATTAATATTTATGTAATGAATGTTGACTCCAACACACACACACACACAAAACCATCTTTTTTTTTGCAATGCTCATGGAATCAAAAGTTTCTGGTTTGAAAAATCCCTCCCTTCCATTTGTAGCAAATATTCTTGCACTTGCTAAAAACAACTCCACCATCAGGACTTCTCTCTGGACCTTCAGTCTGACCTAATAGAGATAATTTTTGATAGCATATCTGTACATATTGATGGGGAAAAAATACTGAGCAGACAAAACTCTGATCTTTTTCAAGAAAACATAAATTACGTATTTTCTGTGTATATAACTGTATTAGCTTTATTCCATAACCTAGATTCAAGCTTATATATAATATAATGCTGAGTTCATCATGGAATCTTTCATAGATAGAAAGATGCCAGGTTGCTCTTCAAATCATCAACATTTGTTAAAATCCACCCAATCAAAGTGAGACCTTTCTTGTCTTAGAGATCATCTACAAAGGGTCATAATCTCTGGAAGGTAGGAAGCAAAATGGACAAAAGGCGTAAATCCACCCTATTGAGATGTCTTATCTAATTAATGTCTTGTAGATGACAATTTGAATAGATATTTCTGAATATTAAAATGGACCAATATGTCTGCCTGGTTTGCCGGTCACATTCCAGAAGCACCCCAATAATTATATAAATGTCTGTAGATAATAGAGACACTGAGATAGTGAAAAATATTCTGTCTTGGCTCAAATGTGGACTGCAATCAAGAAATTAAAATAAGAGAAGGACTTGGAAGGGCAGATACGGAGGAACTAAACAAAACCCTCAACTATAAAGATATATACTTGAATAGCAAAAATTCAATTCAATTGTCCTGGAGAAAATACACTTTTATCTGAACAGATAGCAGCTTGACACCTGCCACAGTCTCTTTTTCTTCACTACTCCGAAGTCTCTGTATTTTACCCAATCATATTTTAAGTATTTTAATGTAGAAAACTACTTATGCAATACATATCCTGACTGAATTGTATTTGTAAACCAACTTTATCATGCTGTGTGGGAATCAATGTCTACAAAACTGAGGAACATTTAAGGGAAATGGATATGTTATTTCTGTTCTATCCGTAATGAACTCTTTCATACAAAGATGCACTGCTAAGTAGTATGGATATTGAAAATCAACTCCTCCATTCATACAACCATCATCAAAAATATTTTTTACAAAATCTTCTATAGATAGTAGTAAAATAATCCAGTAATATATCATGACACTTATTTAAGCAAACATCAAAGCCCTGCCATTAGTCATGACTAACTGACCTAAGTAATCTGCTCTCAGTATAACTAATCCTGGATCTAGCTCAGGGATTCTGAATGTTTGTCAAAACATGACATGACAAAATGAAGAATCACTGTAATTTCCTGAGCTGAGTCACTTACATACAGGGTATTTCGAGGATTTCTGACAAAAGGAAAGAGTTCTAAGATTACATGATGACGTGAATCTGCTTTCCTTGTTTGTTAATGAGGGGTGTGTGTAATCTAACACAACCTGTTCAAGAATTTCTGATACTGAAAAAAGTGTCACACTCAATATTGCATTATAAGAAATTGTTTCACTGTTTTGAGTGGAGGAAGTGCAAGAATGCAAGATGAGAAGGCAACAACAGCAAAGGTACCTTGAATTCCCAACATAATTTAGCCTGCTTGATTGTAAGCAACAAGCCCTGTATCTATTTGAGGATACAGAAGGCCTTATCCAGGTTAAAGTCTATCCTATGGGATGGATGAACAGTTCCAATTACCTTAATTATTTTGAGCTTCTGTTCCCAACTATTTAATTTTTGGCCTGTTCATAGAATCATAGAATCATAGAATCAAAGAGTTGGAAGAGACCTCATGGGCCATCCAGTCCAACCCCCTGCCAAGAAGCAGGAATGTTGCATTCAAATCACCCCTGACAGATGGCTATCCAGCCTCTGTTTAAAAGCTTCCAAAGAAGGAGCCTCCACCACACTCCAGGGCAGAGAGTTCCACTGCTGAACGGCTCTCACAGTCAGGAAGTTCTTCCTCATGTTCAGATGGAATCTCCTCTCTTGTAGTTTGAAGCCATTGTTCCGTGTCCTAGTCTCCAGGGAAGCAGGAAACAAGCTTGCTCCCTCCTCCCTGTGGCTTCTCTCACATATTTATACATGGCTATCATATCTCCTCTCAGCCTTCTCGTCTTCAGGCTAAACATGCCCAGCTCCTTAAGCCGCTCCTCATAGGGCTTGTTCTCCAGACCCTTGATCATTTTAGTCGCCCTCCTCTGGACACATTCCAGCTTGTCAATATCTCTCTTGAATTGTGGTGCCCAGAATTGGACACAATATTCCAGGTGTGGTCTAATCAAAGCGGAATAGAGGGGTAGCATTACTTCCCTAGATCTAGACACTATGCTCCTATTGATGCAGGCCAAAATCCCATTGGCTTTTTTTGCCACCACATCACATTGTTGGCTCACGTTTAACTTGTTGTCCACGAGGACTCCAAGATCTTTTTCACACGTACTGCTCTCGAGCCAGGCGTCCCCCATTTTGTAGGTTGGAAAGAGTTAGCGGAGACTGATACCCCATCTAAACTGGCTATTTAATGCAGTTAGAAATTAACTTTTTCCCAGTTAAAGCATACTAGTAAAAATGAGGTTTTGGGAATTTATCTAGAAATTTTATAATTTGTTTAGGATTTTATCTAGGAATTTCTCAAAAATATTTCCTTCATTAAGACCGTGACATATATATTAAAATTTCCATTAAATGGATTTCTCAAAAATTAAATTAAAAACCACACAATTAATTCATTTGAAAATATGGTAAAGTTAATAGATTTATCCAGTAGATAAGATTCTGTGTCACCCCTTTCCCCAACTAATTCATGAGAAGAGTACATCAGTAACTTATTATTACTGACAGTAATAAATTGTACTATTGTACAGTGCCTGCTGGTATTACGTTACTTTGAAAATTGGTTCTCTTGCAAAAATGGAACACATTTCAAGTTACTCTCTTTTAAAAAGTAGCTGTGTATTCAATTATTTTATCAAATTATTAAGAGTTCTATCTTTTTCAAGATTTAGTCATAGGTAAATTCTCATGGATGATTTGACATTGTCCCAAGTCAAAATTAATTATACTCTATAGGTTCAAGAGTTGAATGTGGACTATAATATCTATTGGTGCCCTCTGCCCAGACTTTTCCTTAAAACCGGAATGGCTCCTGGCACAAATAGGGATCTTTCCTCCAAGCTAAATCAATGAAAATACACATCCATGACAGTTAACCTCCATGAAACCAGCATTTCACTGAACACCCTAATATATTTTGGAGACCTATGAGAAATTATTATGAATATATCTTCTGCTAATTTTATCATCTTAGAGTGGCAATTTATTCCTCCATGTCTAGTCCTCAAGGAAGTTTCGAAGAAATATAGAAGTTGTCAGCACATAAGAGTCAACACATTACTGCTGAACTGCAGCCATTTATAATGAAACCAAAATGAGCACTCACATGTTTGGCATTAATTTAATGTCCCACTTAGCTCCTATCAGATGCAAATAGCTGCCTCATCCATTTAAGGGTTTCTGAGTGTGCATATAATGAAGGGCTCTGTACCTGTCAAGTAAGCAGAATTCATAACTGAAATCAGAAATGGATGAGAAAATTCATTGTCCTTGTTAAAAAAATTGAAACCTCAGACACGGCAATGTCAAATTTATAATTCGTGTTGGCTCTCTGTGCAGCATTTCACTTATATTGGCCTCTGGACAGAGTTTTCTAGTACAGGATGTCCATGAATACATATGAATGTACCCAATGTACCTCTGAAAGCAGAGGCAGAACATGACAAACTTAATAGCCAACTTGTTAAAAATGTATACTAAACCAAATAAATTGGGTCACCAACCTCTTGTATTTTACTGTCTCATTATTTTGGGTGGGGGAGATGCTTTCATTTTACAAAGTGTTCTAGTTATGATGAGTCTCCCCAGAGAAAGATTGTTCTAAGTATAAGTGGAGATAATGACTATCATTAGTCACTGACATTAGCATAAGGCATGAGAAACTCTATGCCATTCATAACAGACTGTGACTTGCCAGTGAAAATATGACTCCCCATCACTTGTGTATGCTTTCTGACTACAGCTGGTTGCTATTTTACAGCCCTAAACTGATATTGGAAGGGTAGTAAGAAGGGTACTTAATAGCACGTTCATCATCTCATCTAATTGTTTTCCACCACAGGGTATGAAGCTTTATGTTCTCTATCAAGCAAAAACAAACAGCCATCCTGCTTAATGGCTGCTCAATTAATGTTTATGGTGCTACTTTTATACCCTGAGTTATTTGACAAATAAACTCCAAGAAGCAATTTAAGAATCTCTGAAGCTTGATGACAACCCAACAGATATTAAAACTAAAATCTCTTATTTGCAAAAAACCCTATATGTGATTAGTTTGTCCATCTCCCTACATCATTTTACTACCTGCCAAAGTGAAAAGTTAATGAAAGTGAGAGACACAAATAGCGACTGTCTGTCTTCCATGAAGTAAAATAGAAATGACTTGTGCATCCCAAGTCACATAAAGGGGTTGCTACATTCACGAGGGCTGAGGATTCATCTTGTGACAACAAGTTGCACTTCTAACATGTATGTTCTATACCTCTTCATAATTCTGTCTTCTTTGCAGAAGTGGTTAAGCTGATTAAAATTGAGAGTTCAAAGAAAGCTTCCCTGCACTAGCTTTAACACCTATTAACTAAGCACAGTCCTTTCTTTATGAAGCCTTAGTATGCTGTTTAAAATTACCATAAATAATATGTTTTCCATGAAGAGTGTCACGGCAGATCCTGGACGCAAATGATTCCTAACTGCTGTTGTTAACAGCATGCAGCAGTAATATATTCATCCCGAATAGTTTCATTTGGTCGCTCTGATCATTGGCTTCTAATGATATATTACAAGTCTGTGCTTCTCCAGCTTCAAGGCAATCAATCATTAATATTTCTCTGTCCCCCAAAGTAACTGGACAAATTTTGACAAGAGAAGAACCAGCTGTGAAAGATGAGAGAAGAAAAAACCTTAACAGAAATTACATGTATTTTTATATCTTTAATGTTCCTTTATGGGCCCACTGCAATTCTATTTTAATGGAACTACAATAATTGCTTAGTCCTTTTTCTTCCAAATCTTCCAAAGGCACCAATAGATAATTGAATCTGTCCCTCAACTTGGAATATTTTAAAGGTTGTCAGGTCTCCTCCCCCTCCTCCTCCTCTTTTCTCTCCCTCTTGCTGATTTCCTCCCCAAAACAGTGGCAGAGCAGCGACAAAGTTGTCACCTGACTGGTTGATGCTTGATGCTGACTGCCTTTGATTAAGAGTCAATGAGCCATTTTCGAGTTCATTTTGCTGCTCCTAAGCACCTCTTCATCAAAAATTATGCAGTTTGACTGATCTGTATTTGATTAGTTTAACACCACAGTTTTATTATGTGTAATAAATAAAGTCAGATCTTTATGGCATTGATGCACATTAAAAAGAACCATTGAGGAAGGTACAAAACGTATTTTTATTCCCTGTGTTCCCTGACATTTTTTAAAAAATCCGCCCGATAGGCAAACCAAACTTAAGCAATAATACCTAGTGTCCTCATTTCTTTATATCTATCAACCTATTGAAACCATACGGTTGCATACATCCTAAAACATAGCTTTCAGGATTTTGTAGCTCACAAAATAAAACACAGAGGACTTGCCATATACTTTGGCCCGATTGGTGGGTTCTGGGGAGCCTCTATCCCCCTGTTCTTTTAAATCATAGACAGATAATTGAAACATGGTTTATAAAGCCCCATTCCAATGGAATGGACTTGTATACATGGTGTATTACATTTAGCATGAAAGTTCACAAGCCCTATTATAATGACGAGACAGTTTTGTGAAGATTGGAATGTCAAGAACATATACGATTTGTAGATTAAAATGGAATAAAAAAACTTTGTTATCAACAGCTCTTGTAAACGCAGGGCTTTTGCTACCTGAACTGAATCTCTCTACCTGCAGTGTAGTCTTCCTCTTTTCCTACTGTCTTCTACCTTTACTGCGTGTATTATCTATATTATGTTGCAACTATGCAGACAGTTGCCTCACACGGGTTCCCAGCCCCCCTTTTGTAAAGTAGCACCCCGTGCCAGTCACCAAGGTTCTCACAAGATGCAGAATTGTCTTCACAATTAGCTTATGAAGCAAAGGAATTTTTGTATACACCACAAGTACAACAGAAGACTTGTGCTTAAGATTAGTTTGCAAAATGATAAGTAGGTTTGTGTAGAGAAGGGGTTTGGATGTGTAAGGGATTGTAGTGGAATTCTGTGTATGTTCTCTCACTGTGTAAATGGAATGAAAATACCACAAGCATCTCTTTCCATCCCTGGATCCATGGCTTTTTGTGACATTACATGAATTGCTGCTGGCTTGATGCTATGGTCCATGCTGCCTCCGTGTGATCTATAAAGGGGATTGAAGGTACTAATAAGGTAGACAAGAACCATCCACTCTTTTTGTGCATTTTGCAAATTAATGATTTGTAATATTTACATTTTTCAAAAGTAATTAAAAAGGAATTAGTATGGTTATTTTTGAGAAATAGAGAAGTAAAATGTTACTTTTAAAAACTGCAGTGATATGACAGTTAAGTACTTTAACATTTCAAAAAGTCTACCTACAAAAATGCCAGTTTCATACTAAGATGGAGTGTCCACATATATTTGGTCTAGCCGCATTAGGCTTCATAGTGTAACATTTCATGCAAACTACACAGAAATATGTGTGTCTAGTGTAGCAAGTATTGTAGGGAAATTAATAAATACACCAGTGTTGAAAGATGTCTACATTGGGAGGTATAACTAAAAGTCTGAATTCTGTGGCAGAATTTGGCCTTTTCCCCAACTTTGGCTGATGCCAGAAAAGGCTGCATTGAGGTGCCCTTGCTCCGTGTTACCCAAGAGCAGCCCTTTGTAGCGTTTGGCCATCCCAGGACTGCAATATGGCACTCATCACCCCACTCTGTCTAACAGAAGGTTGACTGACACATTTTGCTTCACCTTAAATTCTTCCAAAAAACAGCAAGTTTGAAAGTAGTTACAATATGCTACAATCTGTGGTGACTCCTCTGGGTTTAGGAATTCATAAAGAAATTGGAATATGTGCATTCATCCTAATTAAGTTGTAAAATATTCTTGGAAATTACAGTGACCACTGACCACAGATTCTTCTTTGTATGTGGTGCTAGGAGGCATGAAGTGGGGGATGCTGGTATTACCCCTTCAAGAAGAATTATTCCCCTCCATATTTTCCCTCCTCCCTAAATTTGTAATGTGTGCGTGTGGCATTGAAAATTGTCTCTATTAAGAAGTTGTATTTTCTGTGTTCACATTCCTAAGTTGCTTTGCCTTCCCTTTTCTGGGATGTCTACAGTTTTACATTATTGGAATCCTAGAAATTTGAATACTGAAGGAAAATTTCAATGGAAAGGGACAACAGTCTCATTTTGCCCACTAAACGATACCCATGTCTCTAATACAAGATTTATAGCTTCCAATTATAACTTTCATTTATAAGTGAGGTGAATATTCAAATCATGTTGACAATCCATAGTCTTACTCAAATGATCATTATGGGGCAGAGGGTTCCTTGTGATATGCATCACTTAAAAAAAAACTACATGAGCTATCCCCTCAGATTTCTCTACAATGACACAACATAACAAGGGGATCCTCCCCGCCCCCAAAGTTTCAGAAAGACTCTGATATTTAGGGAAAGTTTTAAAGTTTTGTCCAAAACTATAAGAGGCACTACCTGGAATTTCTCCTCAGCTAGAGAAGAGGAGATCCATTCATCCACTGATTTTTAGGAAATGTTTTACAAATAAAAATAATTAATAATAATAATAATAATAAAACAATAAAAAGGGGGGAAAACTCAAATGAATCCTAGATGACCCCCCCCCCCCTTGCACATGCAAAACAAATGAACCAAAAAGATTTCTATGCCTGGGGGTGTCAATCCTAAAAGAAATCCCTTCCCTTGCAACAAACATCTTTCTGAATGGCCAACTTCAGCTAGTTGAGTGCTATGCTGCCTGTTTGCTGCTGCCTGTCTTCTACCCTCCTCTCTCCCACCGTATTCACAATGGCAACCAAGCCCTTGGGGCTGCTGTATTTATTGGAAATGCCAGGAGCATTTTTCCTCCTGATAGGCTGAAGACAACATGTAACCTAACGTGTTTTTCTTTGCTGCCCAGTAGAGTTTGCTTGCAGTGGGACTTACGAGAATTTTGCATTTTTTACAAAACTGTGTAACTGGATGTTTTCATTTGTTTGTATGTGGGGCGTATGCGCTGAGCTGTCTTCATAACGTGGGTTATAAGTATGAATTAAACAAAACACTTGTGACCCTTCTTACATTTTTTTTTGCATACGCCTATTGGAGACTCTTAATGAGAAGATAACATTGGCTTAAATTTCAAGTTGCGTGCATTTTCTGTTAGTTTTGATGTCTGTGTTATCAAACCAGAAATGGAGAACCAAAACATTTTTGTATACTCATGTGCTATATTCTTGAATTTAATTTTACACTTACTATTAAGAGTCTTTTAAAAGCTAATGAGTTATGCCATAAAACACAAATTCATGCAAAAATATATGAAAGTCCCAAGTACTGTTTCTATAATGTGGGATCTCTTACTTCTGGGGCATGATCGTTCTTGAAGAGGACAAGAACTTTAGTGCTCACTTGGAGCTGTGACTAAGTGCTCACTTTATCCCATTAAAGTACAAATGGCAATCCATGAGAATAAGTGAAGCTTTCAATGCTTTTTGCAGAAACTGCTAATATAGTCAGCACTTGATAGAGCTGGACATATCTGAGCATGAGTCACTTATTGAATTGTCCCTGAGCTCAGTGGGAAGCAAATTTATACTTTAATTGGGAAGCAACATTGCTGAGAGATCAGATTTTAGAAACTTAGTTTTTGTGTACAATATTGATTATTTCAGATGCTATCTTTTTTTTAAAAAAAAGTGATTTTAATCAAGTAAAAAAATAAGATTTGGCCCCAAATAGTGTTGCATTGGGAGAAGAAGATTGAGAAAAATAGATCTAGCCATTTACACGTTCATTCCAAAGAAACTACTTTCAGTAAGATAATGCACATTGCCATTAACTTGGATCTAAGCGTTTCTATTAACAGTAGGGCTAGCTATGTCAATCAAGAGGGGGAAAATTCCACAGTCCAAAGAGTCCTTTAAAAAAAACCATGCTTCACAGATGTAGTCATATATGTTTGCATCTCATGGGATCCTGGGATGTGTAGTTTTGGGAGCAGTATCTAGAATGGTCTGCCAGAGAATTCCTTAAGTCCCTCAGCAAACTACAAGTCCCAAGATTTCTTAGGATGTAGCCATGGCAGTAAAAATGATATCAAAATGCAATAATTGTGCAGTGAGAAAGATTTTCTCATGGGAGATAATCTCCTTGCATGTAGATACCTTTGGGAGCTTAACGTTATAAAAAATATATAAATGTTGCACGCTAAGAAAATGAATGGTGTGGCAGCAAGGGCTGATGGGGTTGAAGGCACAATGTTTTTCTGGAATCAAGATCCTTAGTAAGAAAAGTGGTGAAAAGCCCAGAGTCCATGCAGCTAAAAAGCTCAATCTAAATCTCAAATTCATCCTCCTGAGAGCTATCACATGTCATGATTTACCTGCAAAAACCATGCAGAAGATTAAATACCTTATGTACCAAAATTCCCCTCAATTAGCATAATGTTAGTTTAATTGCACTGGAGTCTGAATCAAGTGGTACTCATGATTTGACAGACCACAAAATTAATACAACACATGAACTACCTCTCAGCTTATTCTGTTTTAATGAAGGATCGAGGGTAAAAAGTACGTGGAAAAGTGCTTCCAGCATTCTTTTTTTTTTTAAAATGCATCTCAACAGTTTTATACCTGAGAATGCTTTGCCTCTTGGGTTGTAATGTGGTTTG